GGTAGGGAAATAGCCCCGTCCTTGAATCAGTGTTGCGTAGCTAGAAGTTGTAGCTGGTTCTGCCACAAGTGTTGCCAGTGTTTGCTGACGCTACTGATAACAATTAACCTAAGATCCAGGAAAGCCCTTGTGTCAGCTGTAGAGCTACCCAGTCCAAAAATCCTTGATCTGTTTTATTTGGGAAGGCACAAGGCCTTATGTGAGTGGTCCAGCCATGATCTTGTGCCTACTTTAGCAGTAGCTTTCACCTTCTTCTCCATTTGGTTCCATCATTCTCCAACCTTCAGGGTGCGAAGTACCTGCAGCTTCCTTTGTCTGCGATGGGTTTATCCTGACTAGAATTTAGAGGCATGTTGTGTGAAGGTGTCAGGTAGTGTCCTACCTAGTATTAGTGTGACAACAAACCTTTAAATCCTAGTGAAGTAGTGAGCACTCAGCATCTTTCAGGACAGGTTCCTCTGCCATTTCTGGTTATAGTAGCTGTGTATTCGTCAAGCACAGCTGTGCTGTCTTTGAAGTTGTAACACCCAGTGAGAGATTTCCGCTCTACCCAGTGGGGATGCTTGAGTGACACTCTGGAGGAAGCAGTCTGTAATAATAAAGTGCTCATGCTCCTGTGGCCTGTAGCCCTCTCAACACTCCTTTGCTAAAGTTCCAGATTTACCTCATTTCCACCCAAATGTGTAATGTCTTAGTTGTCTTGTTGCAAGCCATCTACCTCAGAAACAAGAAAAAAGTCATAAAACAGAGGCAATGGCAGAGGTGTGGCAGTGCAGCTCCTTCAGGGCAGTGCCAGCTCTTGTCATGCCAGATGCAGTGACATGATCAGCCAGCACTGCATAATGGCTTCTTTTGCACCCCACAGAGTTGGCACCCCACTCAGCTGTGCTACTGAGTAATGGAAAGAACTGCATACCCTCAAGGGAAGAGCCCTACAGATTCTGTCACTTTGGTTTGGCTGTACAAGGGGGTCCTGCAGCTGGGCGGGGGCTCCTCTGTGCTTGTGTGTGGACAGATGTTAAGTCTCCTGCAAGATTAGATCCCTCTTGTGTTTGTATGTCCCTTGGGTTGGGTCTCGGTCACATGATCTGCTATGTTTGGGGCTGGGAGGATGATGGTTCAATATGTAGGGTCCTGGAGGATATTCTCAAATGTGACTTCTGCTCTGCCCTATGTCCATGGTGTCTTCTTGGTGTGCCCACTCTGGTTAACAATGCCCATTGGCTGATATGGCAGTTAGGGGGGTTTCAGCAGAAAAACACACTTGTCCATCCAGATCCACTGTGTCTTCATCCAGTGGTAACCAAGGCTACTCATAGAGTTTCTATCCCTTTTTGTGAGATAACCTGGCATTGGTGCTGCAGCCCGAGGCGATTCTGTTTTTTTTTCAATATCTAAGCAATAACGTCCGCTTGCTGCAGCATGTTATAAATGACATGGGACATCATGTGACTTGAGAACCTAACCTCCAAGCCGGTGATGTGTTTGTTTCAAATTGACCCACTGAGGTTGTTCTGGAGGGCAGATTTCTGGGTTAAAACTTGCTGAGGATTTATCTGCTGTTAGGAACATTATTAATGCATTTGACATCTGCAAGGGAGAGAGAATTCCTGCAAGCAGTAACAATATTTTTTTTCAGGACAAAAATTCTTTCTGTTCTTTAAATTGTAGAATCCTCATAAAAAAGTACTAGCCTCTGCTTACAGGCAAGTTGGTAGGGTCAATTTTAGGATGGTATTATGGAAGCCAATATACTTACACTTGGAGAAGAGAAAAGATTAATTCTCTCAACAGTTGGTTAGGTGATATTCAGGAAGAGGAAAACTACATCATAGTATAGCTTGCCTTCTTACTTTGATGGCATGTTCATTATTACAGGTATTCAGTGAGTTTTATATTGATGTACTTTTCACTGATTGATCTAGTTTTTCCAGTTAGCATTTGGGTCACATGGGGAAACTGTAAATTACTTTGTGTGTGGAGTAAAGAGTGTATCAGTACCTTCAGCTTGTAACCTTTATTAAATGTTTTGAATTATAAAGTATGTGTTTAAAAAAAACCCCAGAAAATGAGAGTACTGTCTTTTACCCATAATAAATTTATGCATTTTTGAAGATTGAATTTACTAAATCCAAGTAGCTTCATGTGAAAACATTGGGATTATGCATTTGAGAAATTACTGATGTTTTCAAGTCTTTCCAGGAGATGGACTTTGAATAGCAAACTGACTCTGATATAAAAAAGTTAGCACTTTTCTCCTATTCAAAAAGAAACTTAAATATTAAGTGGAAAATGTACGTACCCACCTCAGAAGACCTCCTGGTTTGGGTCAGATGCTAATAGATTATATTAAACAGAATGTATTAATATGAACCAGGTTTCTGTGACATGATTGACTTCAATACTGGGGTGACTAGATTGGTTAACTCAAGAGGTTGTTTTCAGTCCTGTGTTCTGAAATATTTGTTTAAAAGTTGATTTTTGCTTAATCTCCCTAAAAAATAATAAAAAAAATTCTGAAATCAATTCAATTTTTGATCCTGAAATCAAATCAATTTAAGAGAATTTATTTTCTTAAAGTACAAGATGGAAAGTAAGCTTTGGCTACAAAGAAATGATGAAAAATGGGGAGGTCCCGAAGGGCCTGGCTGCATTGCCTCAGCTGTTGTAACTGTGGAGCTCTGACAGCTTGCACCAGCTGAGTGTCTGCCTTTAGGTTGTCAGTATGATTGCCTTGGGCTGTGTGTGTATGTGTTGATGCTGAAATCCTGGCTTACAGTCTTTGCTGCTTGAAATGATTTTCTTTTCTTTTTTGAACAGTAACACACTAACAAAAAAAAAAAAAAAAAAGTGTGAGACCAACCTTGTATATCTGGGCATTTATCTGAAAGATTAGGACAAACATTTTAGCTTGCAGCCTGTGATTAGCTGGTTGCCTCCAGTGAGATATTTTGGAACAACCATGGCGGGTTTTAATTGATCCTCTGCATATATAATATGACGTCTGATCCTCTCCCCTCACTAACCTCATACCAAGCTCGCAGAATATCACCCTTACTGTTCTGATTAACATTGTATCCTATGTCTGACCAGTCTTTAATTTATTATGCCTTTGTTTCCAGTCCCGCAGTGTGGATAAGCAGCATGCAGTTATCAACTATGACAAGGAAAAAGATGAGCACTGGGTGAAGGATCTTGGAAGCTTAAACGGGGTAAGTAGTCAACTTGCCAGCTGACTGACGTGCGCTATATACATAGGTAGGTGGGCTCCGATCCTGTGGATGTTGACGTGCATGCGTAGCTTTTACTTACCAAAGTAGACCCTGTTGAGTGAGTAGGAATTATTTATTGGAGCAGAACAAATCACCTGCCAAAGCCTGTGCCTGCCTTTGGCTGCTTCTGTCACTGGAAGTTCTGGTGGCAGACAGCTGCTGCCACCGCAGCCTGCACACATCTGTGTACTTCTAGTGGCTCTGCGTGGCACCACTGAAGCAGCTGTGCCACTACAGCACCAAGTATATGCTGGGAAGGTACTAGCTGATGAATATACCATGCCAGCTGGATGAAGATATGGGTGCATCTACACATGCCCTCAGCTGTCAGGTAGCGGCAGAAGCCTTTCTGCACATGGTAGAGTGTAGGGTTCTGGTGCTACAAGGGAGCTTGTAGTGTGCCCAGATCCTGTAATTTCTGCCCTCGGAAATTTCTGTAGTTGGAGTGATAAGCTGCTTAAAGTTGAAAACCTGAGTGCATGAGTGTGTGTGTGTGTGTGTGTGTGTGTGTGTATCTTAACTACCCCTGCAGAAAGAACTCTCCAGTTATTAAAAATCTTAGATTCAGTTATGGGAAAGGGAAATTACCTCCCCCAAAATAGGTTTGATATTCTTTTTTCATTAACCCCTCCCCCCCAAAAAACAAAACAAAACAAAAAAACAACGTTCTGACTAACTATATGAAAGAGCTAGTCTATTCTTTAGCTGGCTGCTCCTGCTGAGTAAGGTGACCTTGGCCCAAGGCAGCTGTCATGCCAAGGAATGATGTACAATATAGTCTGTCTCTTCAATTTGTCTGAGGTAAACTGTTTAAAAGCTGCCTCTCGATAATCAGGCCAGGTCCCCTTCTGCTGGGCTTCTGCTTCTTATTAAGATTGAGGGGTAATGTGGGATAATGAATCCAGCACAGAACTGAGAGCCAAGAACTCCTGACTCTCTCTCTGCTTTGACACTAACTCATTGTGGGGCCTTGAGTGAGTCAGGGCTTTCCCACTTTCACCAACTTTTAGCTCTGACCTCTCCCATAGTGTGGATGCAGTTATGTTCTTGTAACTATTCCTGTACAGGAATGGAAATGAGCTATACCAGTATAACAACATTCAAGCTGGAGGTTGTAATCAAGAGTGCTGCTTTGGTTAAAAATACCTTGTGCCTAATAGAAATAGTTACACCAATGAGAAACACTGCTTGTAAAACAGGGTCTTGACCTTTCCACCAGTGTCATCATTGGAAAGCGAGAAGAATGATTCCTCCTCACCAGCTTAAAACCTGTGATGGGGTTAAGTCACTAGGGCAAAGCAGGACAGCTAAAAGAGACTGATAGGGGAAGGAGAAAAGAGGTAATACACACTGTAACTCAGGAGTGGGCAAAGTACAGCCTGTGGTGAGTCTTTGTCTGATCCACGGCGGGTCCCTTGGTCCCCTGGCCCAGGCACAATCCAGCTGTGGCACATCCTGCCACCCCCCTGGGCATGCAGCAAGGCTGGGGCGGCTCCACAGCTGGATTGCCTTTCTAGGTAGCCCAGGCAGCAAGCGATTCCTTCTGGCTGCTGCTGCTGCTGGCCACAGCCCTGCAGTACGGTGGAGACCTACACTGTGCAGCCCCGACCCCACATGCCCTGTGCCTGCTTGGGTGCCTGCCTGGGCTCAGCAGAAGTGGCACTGGACAAAAGCTGTTGTTCAGTCCAGGGTAAAAGTGGCCCCTCCCCCTCCTGCTGTTGCCAGTTCCCTGCTACAGCTGCCTGGAGCCCATGCTGGGCTGCCCTGTGTCTGCTCTGCATTGCCACCATTGCCCTGTGGCACAGCCCAGAGGCAGTGGTGACAGCAGTGAAGGTGCAGGGCAGCCCCGCGTGGGCTTCGGGCAGCTGCAGCAGGGAACTGCCGGTAGCAGGAGGAGGAGGAGCTGCTTTTACCCCTTGCTGGACAACAGATTTTGTCTGGTGCTCCCGGTGCTGAGCCTGGGTGGGCAAGCCTGGAGCAGGTGCAGGGCACATGGGGTTGGAGCTGTGCAGTGTGAGTCCTCACCGGTACTGTAGGGCTGGGGCCAACAGTGACAGCAGCCACCTAGGCTGCCTAGAAAGGCAGTCCAGCTGCAGAGCGGCCCCAGCCCCACTGCATGTCCAGGAGGGGCAGGATGCGCCACAGCTGGGCAGCACAGGGCAGGCCAGCTCAGGGCTGTGTGGGGGTTCTGGCTGATCCACTTCAGTGGGGGTGAGTGCAGAGTAGGTGCAGGGCACGCTGGGGCTGTGTGCTGCCAGAGTTGGGGAGGCACCACAAGGTGCGCGGGTTCCAAGCTGTTGCGGGGCAAGTGCTGACCTGCCCCACAGCTCAGAGTGGGTGCGCAGCGGGGGCTCCCATGCACACCCCACCATACCCACAAACCCTCCCCCACAACCACACCCTCCCCCACGCACAATAACACACCCCACAAACACTGCACCTATCCACACCCTTTCCACATGCACCTACCTTTCCTCTCCAAGCACACACTTGGGGAGGAGCCACACTCACTGCTTCCCACACACACCCAGACCCCCCTACACACACACTTCACACTCACCCTCCCATACACCCCTAGCTACTCTCCCCTTCCATGCACCCCACAAGCTCCATAACACACAGACCCCCACAATCCCCCATACCCACACACATCCACATCCCCCACACCCTTCCCCCTCCCCACATAAACATACATCCACACAGATACACACCCACCCTTCTATACCCCCTGCCCCATCACACTCCCCTACAATGTACAAGAGTAAGACTTAATTTTGAACTATTAAGCAATCACCTCTATATATACCACACAAACGCACATAAATCAGAAGAAAAATATTTTTAAAAATAAAATTAAAATATGTTATTGTCAGTGTTTGATTTTTAGTATATAAATTGTTTTTTTCCTGTTCCAAGATGACAAACCCCCTTCCCAAAAGGAGTACTTCTGGGGGCAAGGGGAGAGACTTCCGGTGACAAAGGACAGGGGTTAGGGGGTGGGACTTCCAGTCCCAAGATGGTGAGCAGGGGGTGGGGCACCTGTCAAGGACTTGGGCTGCCCTTTTGGCCCTCAACAGCTTACCGAAACTTGTTAAGCGGTCCTCCACCTGTAATAATTGCTCCCTCTGCTGTAACTGTTTCTTTAAATTACTACTACTACTGTGCTACTATTAGTAGTTATCGGCACCAATATCTGCGGAAAATTTACATTATCGGCTATTGGCTTTTTTTGGCCAGTGTAGCCAATAATGTTCACCAATAAATATAATTAATTATGCCTTATGGCCAGGACCCCCAGATGCCTGGGTTCCCTCAGGAAATGGTGGGCTTCCCCTTGCAGGCAGGCAGGCAGCATTCTAGCCTGCAGTGGATCCTGCTTGAGGCTTCCAGGAGGGGGGGGGAAGGTGTACCGGGTGCATGCGTGCTGCCTCATGCATGCATGTGGCCAGGAGTACAGCTAAGCAGTGTGGAGAGCAGCTCCCTGCAGGTAGTCTGTGGAGGGAAAGGGATTTGGGGGAAGGAAGGGGAATGGGGAGGGGCAGATCAAGGCCACCACGGGGAGAGAGGGGGGCAGAGGCTGGGGTTGGGGGCGCTGCCCAGCCATGGTAGTACATGGGACCCGGGGGCAGGATGGGGAGCTGGACAGCTGCAGGCAGCTCATCCAGGGGTGGGGCGGTGCTGCTCCCTGCCACTGCATGCATCCCCTGGGGGAAGCACGGAGGGTGGGGCATGTCATTTGTCGCGCCCCCCCCCCGATTGTGCGCAGGGCGTATGCAGGCCACTTGCTGTGGGCTTTGGGCTCTCCGCTCTGCTGCTTTTGCCCTGGGAGCCCTGCGCCAGCTGTGCACCCCCTGCCCACCTGGCAGCAGTGAGGACAGCAAGTTGTGCCTCCTGCTGCCAGGCTAGCAGAGGGCGCACGGGGCTCCCGGAGGAAAGGCAGCAGGGTGGAGAGCCCCAAGTGCAACAAGCAGCCTGCATCTGCCCTTGCCCTGTTCGGC